AAWTTTAATGWAAATCACYGTCTTCCCACGATTGACCGAGCTTTATGCAAAATTCACAAGTCGATCGGCTGCTTCATTCCGCGCTCTTCGACAACCAMGTCTTTCCTTTCAGMAAAGAGAAAAATTCTATCGGTTTAGCGCACAAAGTCAAGTTTTGTTTCACGGGTTTTATGAYTTCACTCTAAGTTCGTCTATTTAGCACTATTGGGTTTGAGTGAAGTCAAAAAATCTGTGAAATATATAGATATTACACTTACAACTGGCGCTGCCATGCCAACGCCGTGCTACGAACTCCCATTGATTCATACGTCGAGCTGTTCATGTGCTAAATTCAAACTTTTTGGTTCGGCGCGACGCTAGCTCGACCGGGGTTTTAGTGAACAAGTGAAAATAACAACTTTTCGAAAAGGAGAAATATAGGTATATTTCAAAGATAATGATAGGATAACTTGAAATCTAGACTCTTACCTCGGTATTGTCTCTCAGCAGTGATATCGGCGTCGTAAATCTTGAAGTAAATTCTACAAAATTATAAACAAAATCTCTCCGTAAGAATATTTTTTTCTCCGCCGCCATAATTGATCAATGCAGGCTTCGGTCAGATATCCCGCCTTCAGATATGCGTGCACCAACTTTAATCACATTTATAGGGTGGTAAACCCCAGAAAAAAATTCTCAGAACATATGTCGATTGTTGTTAGGTTTTCATTTATCAACTAGACGCTAATGTTCGCTTGCGCGACCATAGTCCATATCGCAACCCGCGGAAAGTCTTGTGACGCAGTGCATTTTGGGATTGATAAATGAGTAAACAGGGGAGCAACGATGTCAGTGCTCCAGTTGTCTGTGATGCAATCTCAGTTTTCGAAAAAACTTTGGAAACATTGATATTGTAGTTAATCTAAGAAGCGAAAAACTAAACAAACATCAACATGCAATAGGAAATAGAGCAAGAAAATCCTCCAAAAAATAATCGAGAATTTCCATTTACTAGGCAATTCAAGCAAAAATGAAAACAAAGATATTTTGGCTGTGGAAAAATCGAAACTAATTCGTGTTTTTACGATTTTAGCGATTTGTTTTGATGAAGAAAGGGAGATATATATCCCATGATACATTGCAAACCGATTAAAAATGGCGAGCTTGTGATATAGACTATGCGCGAGATCTAAACTTGTTCTTTAAGCGTATTTTCAAGGGTAAAAATAAACATAATGTAACTAAAAGCCGTTGCTTCAATGGCTCCTTTTTCTCATGTGCTGTAAAAGCGTGTAAAAGCGTATAAAAGCATGTATCCAGACCCTTTTCATCTTCCGACCGAAAAGGTCTCTGGGAAAAGGTCTCACAGGAAGCCCAAGTTGTGCATAATCTTGTCTTTACGAGAGATTACGCGGAAAATCCTTTCTGAGAGTCTGGAGAGATATTGGCTTAGAGCTGGAACCACAACATTTCTTGCTTCCAGCAGTTTACAGGTTCTCCCAGAGCCTTCTACTATAGGCCAATAAAATAAGGTCTGATACGAGAAAGGATTCAGCCATAGTAACTGGAAATTTCCAGAGCCTATTATCCAAGTCGCGCATTATATTGGCTCCACCCTAAGGGTTTGATTCATCCATTCCAGAAAACGAGACCTAATCAAAGATTTATCTAATAACTTGATGGAGCACATTGATGTTTTATATTCTAGGTCTTTTTTTTTTGAAAGCACAGACTGGATCTTTCATGTTAAACAAAGTAGAAGTTGAATCAAGGAAATTGATGTGACCGTTGCCATTGGAAACTAGATGTTCCGAAAAGCTTTCACTTCCAAAGTCACAACATTCATTTCCAAAGTCGACTATCACAGCAAAATGCCCGAGATTTTCAACTGTCTATTGCTTTTATTATTCAACAACAAAATTTTCTGAAGTGGCGGGCTCTACGTACTGATGGGAGCCCTCCACGGCGGGAACTATGGCGTCACGTGGTCGTCTCTCTACCAATGAGAGCGGAGAGAAATCTGTTGTTGAATTACTATATGCAGCTGCATTCTTCTTGACAGAAGACTTGCATGTAGTTAATGTTAAAATACCTTTCAGAGAGAAATCAGACCACCAAACTCTTCCAATGCAGTAAAGTACCAGAATTACTCCACAAATCTGAATATGAAGACATAATCCGGTTAGAAAAATATAAACAAAAAATATTCAAATGATTTTCTTTTTATTCCAAATCATTAACTTTGGGGGAGACTCCGGGGTAAAACTATCGGGGGTTCTCGTCTGAAACTACCGGGGATTTCTCGTCTAAAACTACCGGGGGTTCTCGTCTGAAATTACCGGGGATTTCTCGTCTAAAACTACCGAGGGTTCTCGTCTGAAAGACCCCAGAAGTCTTGAAAAAAGCCTGACTGATTTTTAACCCCAAAGAGATTGCACAACAAATATTGTTAAATCAAATCATCCATAACGACAAAACAAAACTCAGATCCCCCTGAACTTGGCGGCGTTCTTGGTAAAGACATTCCGTTGTCATAGGATTTTTAAAAAGACCCACAGAGTGTAGTTACTTGTCATCTTTAATATTCCTACGCCGATCGCTCATAATCGCCTAAAAATTGCTCTGAAACTAAGATCAGTAGCTTTAAATAGTGCAACGTTTGCTAAAATCGTGTTTAAAATCTCACAAAATCACAGAAAGTTAGGGCGATCGAGAAGCAAAATCGAATGATAACAATGCTAAAGTCTGAAAAAGTACCAAAAAACTGAAAGTAAAATAGTAGTTTAAGAAAAGTCCTGGTTGTTTCAGAGATCTGGTTGACAATAGTCAAGTTTAGATATTTTGTTTCGATGACTATGTACAAAAGAGCGCACACGAGACTCCGGGAAAACAATGGATAATCTTTATCTATTAATCTATTTCCCCGGAGCCTCTTCTGCAATTATTTTGTGCATGGTCACTAAACCAAATATCTAAAGTTGGCTATTACGCGCTGAAACCCCCTTTTTACCTTTTTTATTCTGCCCATGATGCAACGGCCTTGCAAGTGTGTAGCCACGACAGTATCCTTACCCTGATAAGCTCCAAACCTCCGAAAAATAAAGGAACTTCTGAAGTCTTCGAGTATTCTCTTTGCGTTATCCAAAGTTGTGTATAGTTCATGATGTCAAACTGGTTTATCACCGATTTAAACCGGTTTGGTAAACGTAGCCTGAGTATCAGGCTCTCTCGACGGGGATTGGGGCCGATCGACACTGACAAAAAGAGGAATTTTGATGAATGTCGTGCAGGAGTTGAACGGCAACTCTTCTTCACTTACTATCGGGATAATCCTCTTCAACCACTGTGCTACTTGCAATCCTAGACAGAATTGAATGGGACAGAACGCTATTACTGCGCTCTAGCAGATGCACTCTCTTATTGGGTGTTTTAATGCTTACTCAAATCCTTTCCCCTACCCCCACAGTCAATGTTGGTTAACAATGTTGATGGCGGGAATAATGTTTCGGTATGGAAGGAGGGTTTGTTTCGAGCCCAACATTGGAAATGGGGGGCCCCTGACGGTGGAGAATTGTCTGTAAGTTTTGGTAGACATATAGACATACACTTTGTCCCATGTGAGGCAGAGTTCCGTATATTTCACTTGTTTGCAAAATAAAAAATTTTTAGCCTGGCAGGTTCTTATAAGCAAAGTTTCGCCGTATTCAAAAAACGAAAACTAAGTTCATTTTGTCATTGTTGTATACAAGAAAGATTATTAAAGTCATAAAATTTCTGACTGATTTATATTCATAAGAACAACAAGAAGAAATGAACACATTTCAAAAAACGTCGTGGGGAGAACGGCGATTGTTGAGAGTGAGAATGCATTGAGAATGCACTACTGAAAATTCAAAACTTCTCTAATTGATTCCTTTAAGATTTCACAGCCTGTATAATTTGTTTAATAGTATATAACTTATTTCGCTTTTGATAAGACACGGATAGCTTGTTTGATAGATAATTCACGATAGGCAGATTCACGATAAATTCATCAAATGCCCTTTCGAAAAATGCTCCATATCATTTAGTGTGGCTCTACCGCGAATGGTGTGTGGATTTGTAAGACATTTCGTTTCGCATGGCCAAAATTCTTTAGTCTGAATATCACTGATCAGGTTTCTTTTTGTTTTAAGCTTTTGAAGGATATTGTCATTAGTTACTCTATCGCTCCACTTTATGCTTTCTAGTCTTCAAGAGCACCACATTTCTACTGATTCTCTTTTTGCCTCGAGAACTTTCGACAGGGTCCATGCTTCACGGCATAATTAACAATTAGACCTCGAGGGCGAGTGGACTACGAGCTAATAGCCCATGAGGCCGAGTTCGCGAGGCCGAATGGTCTATTAGCTCGTAGTCCACGAGACCGAGAGGTCTAATTGTTTAAGTATAAACATACTAATCGGCCAAATAATGAAAACAAATTGAAATATCCTTTAAATGATTTATAATTTATTTATTTTGATTTTCCCGCGAGACGTGGTCCATCACAAATTAGACCATTAGTAGAGTAGCCAATCACAGCGCWGTATGAGTGATAGACCATTAGTATGTTTATACTAACACTAATTATACATTTATTCGTCTCGTGAATGATAATCTAACAATTTTGATGATTCGATGGCGCCAACCGTAATCATATTATAAATTTGTTTTTTTTACGACCCCCGAAATTATTCCATAACTAGGTAAACAATCCCAGAAGAAAAGAAAAGAACAATCTTGTTGTATGTACAGTTGTATGTAATTTTATTTACCACAGCTCTCGACCAATCAGAAATCGATAATTTTTACAATTGTTGTAAAAAGTATGCTATATACCAAACACAGTGCTAAGCTGTAAACAATAACATTAATTTAGTAGAAAATGTCATCTACGTGTAAAAGAAGAAGAAAAAACGGCGATATTTCTTAAGTGAGAAAATTGCGCAAAGATTTCCTTGCTCCTCATATTACATTAAATAGTTAATTCATTCACGAATGGCCGACAACTAGCAGTTGCTGGCGAAAGCTAGCCTGTGTACATCCGTTTCTCATCCCTCCAAAAAAATCGGGTTTTTTTCCGATTGTTCCCCGATTTTTTTGGAGGGGTGAGAAACGGATGTACACAGGCCAGCGAAAGCCGTTTTTAATTCCAATTTGCGCTTTCTTAAGAGAAAACTAATTTGGGACTTTGAGTGAACTAAATACAAAAAACAATGGTTTCTTGTGGTTTTATGATCCAGAAATAGGCTAGTTATTTTACTAAAAACGATATTTTTACTTGTTTTTTCATTATTTCGTAAACATTTCCTAGATTTCTAAGTTAATATAGCATTATTTTCTACCCACGCAAAGCGGAAACCGTTAAAGATACATACACAATCAACTGGATAATAACTAGATAGAAAAGATTGAAAAACAACTGGCAAACAAGATAGATGTATCAACATTAAACTTATGAATAAAAATTGATCAAATCAATATCGAAGCCGACAATTATTATCATTATAAATCATGCTATACTGGCTCTTTTGCTAGTGAAAAGCAGTTTACAATATAACTACCTGTTCTTCATTCGTCTGATGTGCAAATTTAAAATCATAACAGCTTGTGATTACTTAAAAGCAAATTTAAAATTGTCGAAACCAAGCCGGCTAGAACACCTATCCAGTGCCCTGTAGGAGAAATTCAATTATTTGGTCTTTATAACTCCTGAATTGYCATCTTCAATTACCCACGAGTATYGGAAAAAGTTTAAATGCACTCTRGATGAATATTACACAAAACCTGGTTGCCTACCACAGCAGTTAGCAAACCCATACCTTTATTTTTCATCATAATCCATAAATGAGGCTTTTGAAGGACTCTTATGTGTACATTTGTATACAGGAAATGAACGGCTCACTCGAAGGGAATCATCTAATAACATGGACAAAACAATGTTTTTAGAGCAATCCGGGATGTAATGTTTGAAAAGAACAGAACATCCAGCTTAATGGAAATTTTTTATTTAATGAAAAAGTTTACTAATTAGTCACAAGCACAGCGGAATTCTTTTTTTTTTTTTTTCAAACATTTTCGATGTTTAAAAAGCTGCTCTTTTTGTAACTGCCAAGTGGAAAGGTCCTCACAATGGAGTTTAATAAGTTTCCTTTCAATTCGTGTCCGGGTCTTGGAGCTTTCTCGTTTGCATGACAAATATAGACCGAATTGTACTTGAGCTGAGCCATATAAGCTTTTCGTAATCATCAGCTTAGGTTTGGCGTYCAAAACAAGGCRTTCAAAGCAAAACATTTCTGTTATWTTTTGCTGGAAAATCCCAGGGAAGTTTATGTACTTAAGTTGGMTGATAGATAAGGTAAGTGAAAGACAAAAAGTTGTCTTTGAAATATTTACCGTTATAAGGCATTTGTTTGATTGATAACGATGAAGAACACTTCGAATAAACAAGTAGTTTTAAAACCCACATTTTAGTGGCTGAATTAATGATTGTCGTCTGCTGCACACAAGACGTACTTTTATCGGTCCCAATKTTAATTTTACTTCGSYTTTTTKKKYTSWRA